TCCAAAAAATCGTGCTGGGACGGAAGTGGCCGCAAGCGACGGAGATTTCATGTTTTGAGATAAAGATTAAATATAAACATAAAATTTACAAAATAAATACCTTGAAAAGGATATCCTGTGAAGTAAGGTGACATGTTGAGCGTTGATACAGCCATGTAGTCTATGTCAGGTAAGCAACAGGTCACAAATATTTAACAAAACTTGAAGACCCACAGATGATGAAAGACGTTACAAAAAACAGGAAAATCACACTTATAACAAACTTTGTTCGAAGCAAACAACAAATAAACTGTTTCAATCAACTAACAGATATTTAGAACAAAATCAACAAAATAAATCAAAATAAAACGTGTAAGTGAATATAAGGAAGCACTCCTAGACGTTTTCAGCGCGGTAGCTATCGGCTAACTGACTTCAAGTTTGCGAAGATCGAGGCTGGTTAGGTTCCCTCGCAAGCACCGTCGTTTCTCATTTCCATGAGGCTCCGCCTGTTTTCAATCGGGGCTCTCGTTCTGGTACATTACTGTAGCGATCCGGGGACTTGCGTTTTCATTTCGTCATTTTTTACCTGTTGCACTGGGACTCCACCTATTCCGATTCTGACAAAAGCGGCTCGCTTTGACGGCGCCCGAACGCGTACGCTATTGGCGATGTCGCTTTACGAAAAGGTGTGCCAGGTATAAACGAAATGTACTTGAGATGAAATTTATTATGAAATATCATCTGTAGCCCCGAGAAAATATTACATCGTATCAATACACCCAGAACATTCTAATGGTGTGATTCATATGCTCCGGTGCGAGGCTGGCGTTTATATTGTAAATGTGTGTGCTTCTTTATTAACTAGGAATGCCTTCGGAGATTCCTAATGATTAGCATGTGAAATCACCCGTGCTGTGAGATTAAAGATACTTCACATTCTAAACCAAGGCCACCCAGGAGACCCTTTGTCTACTGTGTTTTATATTTGATTGAGTATGAATGATTGTGTGATTTTTCAAAGTGGCCACAATCTAGTAATTTGAACTGGAGAATTAAAAAAGGACCGCAAGGAATGTTTTTAAATTGCCTAGTTTGAAAAGGTGTTAGCCTATAATTAAATTTCGTACAAAAAGTTGAGAACGTAAAATATCGCTGGCAGGAGTATTATTAGCATAATTGATTTTAGTGATCAAGAGAATAGTATAAAAATAATAATATAAATTCAAAAGTTACATGTATATAGAGTCGAGCGGGGCTTAAAGGTTCGCGGGTAAAATGATCCAGAACCAAAGTCTCAGAAACAATTAAAGTTAGGATTTTTTTTAACAATATTTGAAAGTAGAGAGCAATGTATTTGAAAGAAGAGCGATGTACAATTCCCTGGAATATAACGATGATGCTATCGAAAGATAAACGGCAATGTTTGAAAACCCATGATAAAAGTATCTTGATTTGTTGTAAGTTTTTTGGTTGTGAGCACGGTTGTTTAGTTTACAAGACCTCAATA